AAACAGCATAATTGACAAAATACGATTATTTTGCTGGGTGCGCTTTCGCCCCTCCCTAAAAGCCCACTCGGCCACGTGGGAGTGACATGTGTTGTGAGTGTTCAGCGCGAGCGAAGATGTCAGAACAAGAGCAGCAACTCGTTAAAAAGAAGGGTCAAACTATTTCCACTATTTGGAAGTACTTTGGCTTTCAGGAGTCCGACGTGGAGCAAAATAAAGTACAGTGCAGGATTTGTTACCAGGTTGTGTTGGCACCACACGCTAGCACAACCAATCTCTTTAATCATCTGAAATACAACCACAAAGTGCAATACGACCGGGCAGTAATACAACAAAAAGCAGATGCCCGCTCGACTTCATCCACCACATCATCACAGTCATCGATTCAGGACGCATTGTACAGAGCAACGGCCTACGCGACGAGCTCACAGAGACACAGAGATATTACAGGTGCCATTACATTTCACATCGCTAAAGATATGTGCCCAGTTAGCACTGTTAGCAACCAGGGCTTTAAGCAACTTGTCAACACGTTGGACAAGCGTTACGCGATGCCGTCTCGGTATTATTTCAGCAGGTTTGCGGCTGCGCTGCCTGCACTATATGACAAATGCCGTGGGGAAGTTGAGAGAGATGTGGCTTCAGCTGACTACTTTGCCACCACAACAGACCTATGGTCTAGCCCAGGGGTGCCCAACCAGTCGATCGCGAGATGTGTCTAAAAATAGAACAACAATATTCTGTTTTATGTCCTGTGACATAATCTTCCTGTGCCAGAATAATGCACTTGAACGCATCAAAGCTTTGTGATTGGCCGGCGTCACCCCATGTGTCGGGGCGTGGCTGAGGGTCTTCAGTACAGGTGGCGATATTGTCACCTGCCTGCGCTCATCTCTGAAACCAGACCATGTAAACAGGCTGGTGTTTCTTGCAAAAAATCTTTAAGAGATGACATGAGCAGCCTTACCAGCATTTGCCATGGTGGCCAAAACATTTTTATTTGGTCTTAAATTGTAGTTCAACATTTATTTCCTGTTACTTCTGGACCATGACGGTTGGCCAGCCTTCAACGTTTAACTGAGTGGAATATGTTGAATATGTTTGACCAAAATGTTGGCTATATGTTAAGGAGTTTTCAGTAGGTTGTGACAGTGCACTGCATCATATTTGATTTAATTTATTTTGGTCTAATTTATTTTTATTTATCATATTAATAATGTATGTTTAGTATGGTTTTGGAAGTGCGCTCCAACATATTTGTTGATCTTGTTTATTGGTAAAGTTCAATAAATGGTCAATGAATAATCGTCAAAATAATCGTGATATCAATTATTGACCCAAATAATCGTGATTATGATTTTTGCCATAATCGCACAGCCCTAAGCTGAGCCAGCTCACTGCTGGGAAATGCATCAGGGTTGCAGAACGATGTGAATGATGTGTGTTCCAGTATCCGAAAAAAGTGCAGGTGCTCCATATCTGCAAATCTTTGGGTCATAATAATAATCGTATTTCTTTATTAGTCTCATCCTGGATACAACGAGCTATGCTCTCAATTATGTCATTTTGTATGGTGTTTGACATACCGCTGAAGACTGTTGACGATCCCAAGTGCTCCGCGAGTGCAGTGTCAAACTCTGCAAATGCACGTACCAGCTCTACAAAATTGCCCCTGTTAGAGCTGCCAGCGGCCTCATTGTGTCCCCTGAATGCTTGCTCTTGACGTGCAAGGTACAGGGCAGCAATGATGAGTTTCCTCAGAATATCCCGGTTCTTTTTTACTTGTTCGTTGTGCTTCTTTGTGCTAATGGTTCTTGCTACATCCAGAGCCTCGTCAATCCTGACGCGTCCAAAAAGCTTTAATTTCACAGCACAATCTATATGATTTTTAGATTTACCGTGCCTCTCAATTGCCCGTGACAGGTTGGCAAGGTCGATGAATCCTGAAGTTGCCCAAGGATTGTTCAGGGAGCACGAACCCTTGTCAAAAAGAAGACATGGCCAGCAAAATAGACGCTGAAGTTTAGCGCTTCCAGGTAGCCACTCCGTGCGGACATAATTGTCCTCATTGAACGTCCGATTAGATCCCTTATTCCTCTGTGTACACAGCTCGAGTGTGGGCGTTGTCCTGCCATCTGCTTTAATTTTTAGTTGCTGCTGTAGCGGAAGTTTAGTGAAGTTATGCTTAATTAAGTACGCCAAATCTCCTCCCTCCATAATGCTTCATTTGCTTGATAATTTCTAACGGCGGTGATGACAGTTACAGTATTAAAATTGATGTTGATGTGATTGGATGGCAGTGTCCAATCAAATCGCCAGCCGCCCCTGAAGGGAAGCTAGAGGCGGCTGGCTTCCCCTGGCATGGCCCTGACCAATCACAGGTTGGCAGGGGCATCACGTGGGCCTCATCTGATTGGTTAATCCCTCAATTTTTTTTCACCAAGGGAAGCTAGATTCTGCTGGCCTCCTCTCGCAACAGTGAATGCAATCTACTGTTTCACCATGACATCTAGAGGGGCGCTGTTTCACTCTTTGTAAAATACTCAATGAGAATGGGGGAGAGACGGTCCGGCAGGAACACACAGGAAAGTAGAATTACAGAAACAAAACAAAGTGTTTTTATTTATTTATTTAAATTATAACTACAATCCGAAAAAACAGGGGAAGCCTGGCTTCCCTTGGCCTCCGGGAGAAAACGCCACTGATTGTTTGTACACATGGTACTTTACATATATATCTGTTTGTTTAAAGTGTCCAGGTGATGCAGACAGGCTGGACCAGAGAGTGAGAGACAGAACTGGACTCCTCACAGCAGTGAACTTCAGCTCAGGTACAAAGACTATTTTTTCATACTGTACAAAGAATCAAGAAAGATATTGGTTTAAATGAATGAAGTATTGACTTGAATACACTGATATACATTCCATTAAACAATACTAAATACTAGATCACCTACACATCAGTGAAGTTGAGGGTTTATTCCATGCAAAAAGTTACATTTAGATATTTAGCAATATGACTTTTGTCAGCTTTCTAATTTAATGTTTTGAAGGCAGCTATATTTAACACATAGTGAGAACTGCTACTATTTATCTCTCAATATTGTCTGTAAAAAACGTGGTAAAAGTTATTCTTTCAGTGAGACAACAGAGCAAGCTTCTCCAGCTGCACTACGTTTTGATAACAGTTCAATATTATTTTGATAATAACATATATTTCAATGTTGATGAACTTCATACTGTTCATTCATAATCTGATTGTCTTTGTAGCTCATTGTTGAAATAAAAAAAAAACATTACAATTACAAAATAATGATATCTACAGCCCCTAAACACACAAACACACCGCTTTCATAAATAACACACTTGTTCTGCAATAATATGTTTTATGTTTCCTGTCATTTTTGTTAGGAAAGGACATGCCTGAAAGACACGACATGTTCTCCTTCTCTGAGGGTCAAGAAGAACATCCAAGAGGAACATTAAAAGCTGATGTTATGAGATTTTAAGACCAGTACAGGACATTCACTAAGAAACTACTTTTATTGTGAAAACACAGTCAGCTGATCGAATGCACCTATTTCCACATCTACACTCCATCAGCTGATTATTTCTATTTGCCTCACTTTATGAGCTTCACAACATGTACCTTGTTTTGCAACGTCATAAATAAATGGGGCCAATCTTCAGTCAGATGTGAATGTGTAATCTAACATTTTCAGTAAGAATAATGGACAAAAGGAGTGCAAATACAATTTATTGAAATGTGAACCAAAAGCACATATGGACAGAAGGTGTAAACCTATTAAATGTATAAGTAAACACATTTAGTCAAATAAAGTGACAGACTAGGCCTGTGCAGTTGGTATCAGCTATGCCCAGCATGGGCTCCTCCATCAGCCCTGGTCCTCCTCGCAGAGGAAAGACCCTCAGTCCTCCTCGCAGAGGAAAGACCCTCAGTCCTCTCCAAACCAACAGACTGGACGTCCATCACACGGAGGTTTCTCCCTGAAGTCTCTCCTGCTCTCTGGACACCATGCTGTCTCAATCCGTCCACACTGAATATGAGAGGGGGAAAATGAAAATAATAAATGCTTTAGACAATAAGAAACATAAAGTTGACTGTTGAGTTGCTCAGTTTTTTTAGATTGTCAATACTATTACTGTATAACTAATATCTCAGGTTAAGAGGCACATTCAAATAAAGATTGGTCTTTAAATACATTTTATCTTTTGAATTGTTTGTCTAAAGTCAATGATCTAGAACTGGTACTTAGTTTTAATGATATAGTCTGGTTATTATGCTGTTTGGATGAGGCCTCACAGGTAAGAGCACTAACTAGCTACCATCACATGTACCTTAGCTTGACTTAAATGTATTAAACGTATAGTTAAGTGATATCAAAATATAAATAACTAATGTCATGCAAACATATTAATATTTGCTTGATTCCAGTGTTGAATTTAGCACAATTGCATACAAACGTTAAGGGGTTTTAAGATTCTGAAGTATTATGCTAAAAACTCAATAATTTAGATTATTATTTATAGTTTCATGTCCGCTTACCTTAGAAACGTAAATGTTAGCTTAGCTTGGTAGCTTCAGCTAGCTCTGGAACTTCCAGCTCGGTGGCAGCAGGTCCCGCCTCGGCTCCGCCTCTTTGCCCTTATTTGGAGCAGGCTGGAGAAGGCGGGAGTTGAACTCTGGCGTCACTGTCGAGCCGTTAGTGGCCGACTCCGCCTACTAAGGGCTTCACGGCAACTCTGCAGAATCCTATGGGTCACGTCACGGACCCTACGTCCATTTATATATACAGTCTATGGTTGAGAGGAGCTTTATTTATATAGCTCCTCTCAACACAAGGCAATTCAAAGTGCTTTCAGTGCTTTTCAAATGCCTTCAGTTCCCAGAGTAGACCAGCAGAGGGCGCAGAAGACCAATAAACTAAATAATTAATATAAGGGGAAGACACATGGCATATAGCATAGCATATACCCCATGGCCCGCCATGCCTGCTTTACAATGCCTAGGTTATGTGCAATTTGACACGACCCCGGAAGTGTTTTTTCGGGGAGGGTGGGCTAGCCTTGCAGCCTTGATGCTATGACGATGGACGCTCATGTGGAAGCTACCACACAGCGAGCTGATTTATAAACTGCCGTAGCCATTTGCCCACTTGTATGGGCAATGAATACACAAAGCCGTTAATTGTTTTTCCTATTTAATCATTTTTGAACCATTTTGGATATCACAAGGCATCCCATTACCGTGGGAACAATATGAAAATACAGTTTTAAAAGCAACATTTTCCAAGGTGAGTCTCTCTGTCACGTTAGCCTTTACACAGGGCTATGTTAACATACGGCAGTGTTGTTTTATATTAGCAACGCTGTGTTTTATATTTACAGTTTTAATGGCGTCACAAAACTGGTTACTGAATGTCGACGACAACACGGCTGTCATTCCCTCTGTCTCTAGTAACGTTACTATTACTGTGTCAGACTGACTGAGTACAAACTACTGCACCAAAAATATAACGTTAATTTAACAACAGTCATTTTAAATAGAATGAATGTCATTACTGGACTAAGTTATGATAGCCTCCTGTTGGTTTATTTTCGGTGCTTTATTTGTTCTACGCATAACGGAGCAGGTGTATTGTTAAGCTAGCCATGCCATATAAACATTAGGAATATCCTTTTTTATATCAGAAACAGGTTTATTATGAAGTAGGTTTACACATACGTGGAATTTGCCTTGGTGTATAATATGGTGCTTACATAAACACAGTTAAAGAAGATACATTGTAATAAAAACGAAAAAAAAGAAAAGAAACTATTGTAAAAAATATGTTGCACTTTCTACTCCAACTCATTTATTTTACAAACGTGGTTACTTTGCAGATTTACGTTCTTATAGAATACATGAATCAATACACATAAGCCACCCAGTAGTGAATAAAGCAATTCAAATACCCCACCTTTACCAAGTGCAACATTCAAGTGATGAACACATAAATGCACCATTCATTGTAATCAAATAATAAGAACATATCTGGGGCTTAACAGGGCCATTCTGCATTTTGAGTACTTTTAAGTACAATTTTGAATGCAGAGTATTTAACACTAATATTCCTACTTTTTAATAGAGTAAATAATCTGAGTACTTCCTCTATCTCTGGTTGTGTATTTGCTGCTTATTAGGTTTCCTGTTACAGTGCAGGCATACTGAGTGAGACAATGAATTAACTTCATTTAACACCACGACTATACATATCACTCAGCAGGCAATATATTTAGCACTTTATTAGTAAGGCCTCAATAGTTCTGCTTCGCTGCCTTAAACATTGTTGCTTTCTAGATTTGAGGATAATGATTTACTGGCCTGCAGACTTTGAAAACCATATCCTTAGATTAGATAGATTTTGCACTTTATTTGTAAAGACTTGCAAAAGCCTCATGGCCCATGCCATCTCATGAACACATGGTCTTTGTGACTCAGCCTGGTTTATTATAAGGAGCTCTAATCTCCTGTGACTCAGTATTAAACAGAAGCCTTCTAGAATTTGATTGACACTTTTGTAATGTGTTCAAGAGAGAAAACTGCAGTCAAGAGATTTTGAAAAGGTCTCATGGATTTGCTATATAGATTTTGATGAATGTCGACTTTTTGTTAAACGTCATACTTAAAGGAAAAAAGCTTGGTTAAGATCCAGACGTCCGTGACTAAAATCCTTCATCCGGTTAAATATAGTTAAAAAAAAACCACAATATATATCGCAGGGGGAAAACATATTGTGCAGCCCTAGTGTGTATAACTGATTCCAGCGGTCTGCGTTGTTTCCCTCCATTTTAACAATGTTGTTTACCATAGATGAATACACCATAAGAGAAAATGCTACTACTGAAAGGAAGGAAGTGTGTGCGCGTGTTACTCAATTACTATAAGTGAGAGCTTCTTGGAAAATGTAAATTAGAGTGGCTTGAGTAAGATAAAGTGTACAGTAAGTAGTTGGCTGTCTGGAAATGAATCAGGGTTATCCCTAAATAAATGGGTCCAACAGCATTTGGCCATTTTGGCTGCTGTTCATCCTACACATTCTCATTTAAATGTCTTCGTGGGAACCATCAAAATAAACAAGTGTCGGCAAACAAGAGGTATTATTATCACACATACTGAATATGCTCACAAAACAGTGAAGTGTATGTGTACCATGTGTAACGAGCTGCTGGAAGTAGATAGACCTAAAGAGTGTAATGGCTTTGTTTACAACAGCAAATGGGTTTGAACATTCCACCTCAGTGTTCTTCAGAATTGTTCTCACGTTTTGTCATGTTTTTCCTCAATGAAGAAGGAGGTGTCTTACACATGAAACCGCTTAGCCTGTTTGCCCTGTGCATTTTGTTGCTGAATGACGTGAAGGAGAAAAGGACTGGAATGTTAAAGTCCTCCGCCTCTGTTTTGCTAAGTGTTGCTTCTCTTGTTTCAGCTGCTTCACATTCATCTGTTGTGTGAGGAGAGTTACCCACAGGCTCCACATAGCTGTACACTGCTGACAATCGCATCCCAACAGTTATCTGTGTGCACATCGATGTCTTAGCCTCAAGCTTTTTTTTGTTACCTTTTCTTTATTTTGGTACTTATTCTGTCCTTGTGCTCCTTCTACACAAACCAAAGCTGTCCTCTGGGGATCAATACAGTCTTCTCTTTCTCAGCTTCACAAACAGAGACTGACATGTGTGTTTGAAAGGAATGGACCCTTCTGCTCATCCACATATGTTAAGCAGCTTATATCAGGCTATTAATAAGATTACATTAGCTGACATTCCTATTGACACAGTGGACCTTTGAAAAGTCTGAGCCCTGAATTTACCCTTGGACATTTCTCTGTGTTGACTTCAGTGCACTCTTGTATCAAACACACAGAAAGCAAACCCCCTGCCGGTTGTGTGACTGGTTTTGCTCCCTTATGCAGTGTTATTGTCTACTCTACATCCCAGCCTCTATTTGGCCATACAACCAAAGCTAGGGGTGCTTTAACGCAGCAGGCGGTCAATTCTAATTGTTTTCTAGCCAAGCAGTGTAACAGGCACCATTGGAGTCTGATCCCATCCTGTCCATTGTTTGATCCAATTAACGGTGCTGTATGACCTAAAGATCATTTTGTATATGATTTTCTGGCTCTCATTAGTTCTGCTCCGCTGCCTTAAACATTGTTGCTTTCTAGATTTGACGATAATGCTTTTCTGGCCTGCAGACTTTGAAAACCATATGTTTTCTTGTGAGATAAAGGCAGGCTGTGCAACCAACCTTTTATATTCACTTCACTATCAGAAGCATTGTGCCCACGCCCTGTGATTCATGGAAATGAAGGAGGTGTGATGGATGTTGACTCATCTGCCTCTGGTCATTGCAGAGCTGTTACCTGGTTACCAACGCCTGTGTCACACCTGCTTTTTTACGTGGGCAGAAGGAGTTTGGCAATGCCTAGGGAAGTAGACAGCACTGACAACACTTGGAAACATAAACATTAGTGCAAAAAAAAAGGGTGGTGTCAGTTGGACTAAGAAGTGTTAGTCTGGCGGGCCACATCCTCCTCCCGCGTAATCATTTCTTTGTATTGAATTTGTGTAAGACTTATTGCGCTGTACTTTGGGAACTAGTGCAGGTTCTGAAAGTGTGTGTGTGTGTGTGTGTGTGTGTGTGTGTGTGTGTGTGTGTGTGTGTGTGTGTGTGTGTGTGTGTGTGTGTGTGTGTGGTGTGTGTGTGTGTGTGTGTGTGTGTGTGTGTGTGTGTGTGTGTGTGTGTGTGTGTGTGTGTGTGTGTGTGTGTGTGTGTGTGTGTGTGTGTGTGTGTGTGTGTGTGTGTGTGTGTGTGTGTGTGTGTGTGTGTGTGTGTGTGTGTGTGTGTGTGTGTGTGTGTGTGTGTGTGTGTGTGTGTGTGTGTGTGTGTGTGTGTGTGTGTGTGTGTGTGTGTGTGTGTGTGTGTGTGTGTGTGTGTGTGTGTGTGTATGGATGAACTGATTGTGGACTAATGTACATTCAACAGGAAAACAATTTGTTGTCAGGGTTCTGATTCCAAGGCTCAATGGAAAGTGATTGCACTTAGTCAGGTGGTGTGTGACTGCTTCTCCAAGTGGCTTTCTGACATTAAACTACACGGTGTAAGAAATTAAGGTAACTCTAATAAGTAGAAGTTATGCAACATACTCTACTTCCATAATTCCTAGACACACACTCTACTTTCTTAGGACACAGATTTTGACAGCCCCTCGCAAGCTCCTTGCAGCCTCTTGCTAGAATGTAAATGGGTCCTTGCATCTCTAAGTTGTGAAACCCCGGCAGAAGGGCGTCTAGAAAACCAACTACTGGCTTTGTTACTCATACAAATGTGTCTGACCTTTTTTTTCTCCTGTTGCCCTTTCAGTCTTGCCAGAACTTCATACATCAGAATGAAGGAACGGACAGATGCTCCTCAGGACCGGTGAGTTTGATGCAAGTGAGACTCTCACTTCCCCCTGTTTGCTCTCGACCAGAGTTCCTCACTGTTGTTTTGCTCTCGACCGCAGTTTCTGTGTCAGGCAAGGATGTAACATTTCAATACTAAAAATAATTATACTTCAAATAATCCCATCTCAAATATTTGTATTATGACATATTGTACTCATTTTGACATGGATATTACATTAAGTACCGCTTGTTAGAAAATAGAGTTTAGAGACAATAGCTAGAGTTTTACCAAGAAGTGGAGATGGCTCTTTAATACAGCCCTAACGGATGTAGGAGGGTAAAGAGTGAAGTTTATATGGGGTCAAATTAGAGTGGTGTTGGTTTACAAGCTGCATTGTTTCACATGCATGTGAATCTCTCCTGCATATAAAAGCACTTTAAATCCAGCTTTGGAAAAGTACCGTAAATAGAGTTTATATCAGAATGTTAATTCAAGTGGTGTCAATGGATTAAAACATTTCATAATTAATTATGATAATCACAAGTTTAAATATTGTATTTTGGTGGGAAGTGAGGCAAAAACGTGAGAGATGTTGTAGTAAAGAAATGAATGACAAACTAGAAAGAGAAATCAGAGGGTTTTTGAATTCACTATTAAATGATTTCTGAATTAGTGCGCCAATTTTCCTACACTAAGCTTAAGCATTCCCCTCTGTATAATGCGCGCTGCCAGGCACTATACCGCTATCATACTGCGAACACTTACTGTTCCCACTCCTCTACAACTTCAATACAAATGGCGAGTACATGGTTCAGCAAAATGCCTTTCTCCTCCGTTTCTACCACACTGAAAGCGAACGAGTGCGGAACCTTTTTGTCATGGTTAAGCTGTGGTGTTACACAGAGTGGGTGATGGTTTTTACTGACGTCTAGTCGTCTAGTGATCTCCTGTCAAATCAATACAGGAAGCTTGGACCAGCTCCAATCTGCGCTGGATATGTAGGAGGTAATTGGGGTCAAACTTTGTAATATGATACATTTCCAATATTTTTTTAACGCTTTAATGTTTCCAGAATAATCGCGAGCCTTAACGATTCATCATTGACAGCCCTGGTTGATACATTACATTTCCAGTACTGCTACATTCTGTATTGTAAACCATTTTCAATGTATTGATCTTTACTTCCCATGTACAGGGGCTGCCTGGTGGGGATCTGTTTCTTCATTCTGGGCCTGGGAACGCTGCTACCATGGAACTTCTTCATGACTGCCTCATTGGTAAAAACATGGCAATGACTTAATCCCTCAAATACAGTGGAACTGACCCATTATCTGCGCCTTTCCATGTTTTATAACATGAACAGAAACAGACTCAGTCAAAAACATGGTAGTTTCTCAGCATTTCCCATTCAGATGGAACATGTTGTGGTTCCTCACCTGAACCTCTTAAAGAATCACATGCTAAATGGATGACTACGGCTTATGGATACTAATCTCTTTCAAGAAAATATCTAGATTGTGTAGGGTGTTAAAGGGTAATGACCTATAGCGACCCACACATCCAGACTTTAGGTAACTATGTGCAGGGATGCAAACTTGTCACCTTTTGGCGAAATTCGCCGTTTTCAATCCAAAATAGGTCGCTTGTGTGATTCATGTAGATTTGCAATAAAAATATTTTTGGGGTATTGGGGGGGTCTGGGACCCGGAGTAATCTGCGGCCGCGAGCTGTTATGTGCCATCATACACGCATGGTGTTCTTTTTTTATATATTATAATGAAGCGTGAGCTGTGTGCTCGAGTCTTCCTGCCTGTCGGCTCTGCTCATGGATGTATAATAAGGCTCTGCTGCTCCGCGATGATGGTCTAGCTTCAGCAGCCACATTACGGGTGCGTTCGTTAATATTAACTGTGCGGTCCGGAGTCACTGTGGCACAGACTGGACCGCTGGTGAACAGCTGTGAGAACGGGCCTTTCAGGTGTTCAGAGCAGAGCTCCCTGTCGGAGCGGCAGAGCCCTATGGGCAGAGCGTGATGTGCACTGAAAAGTTTTTCTGTCACAATATTATTTAAGGAATCGTTGACCTAGCTAACTAGCATACATTGTCACTATCTGCTAACATTAGCTTTAGCCTTCGTTTTCTAATAGTTTTTTTCATAGGCTATAAATTAAACAGAGGTTGTATAAGTATAGATCTTGTACTTGAGTAAAAGTAGAAGTACTCAGATCTTGTACTTGAGTGAAAGTAGAAGTACTCAGATCTTGTAATTGAGTGAAAGTAGAAGTACTCAGATCTTGTACTTGAGTGAAAGTAGAAGTACTCAGATCTTGTAATTGAGTAAAAGTAGAAGTACTCAGATCTTGTACTTGAGTAAAAGCAGAAGTACTGAGATCTTGTACTTGAGTAAAAGCAGAAGTACTCAGATCTTGTACTTGAGTAAAAGTAGAAGTACTCAGATCTTGTACTTGAGTAAAAGTAGAAGTACCAGAGGAATACTCTGTTACAGTAAAAGTCCTGCATTCAAAATGTTACTCAAGTGAAAGTAGAAAAGTATTCTCATCAAAATATAGTGAAAGTAGCGACAGTAAAAGTAGTCGTTGTGCAGATTGGTCCATTTCAGAATAATATATATGATGTGTTTTATAATGATTGATCATGAAAGTGTTCTCAAAGCTGGTAAAGGTGCAGCTAGTTTGAATGACTTTGTATACTGCAGGGTAGCTGGTGGATTTACTCCAGGTGGAACTAAAGTCTGATTTAACACTTGATTAGATTTCACATCATTCATCCACATCTGTAAAGTAACTAAAGGTATTCAATACATGTAGTGGAGTCAAAGTACACCATGTACCTCTGAACTGTAGAGGAGAAGAAGAACAAAGTAGCAAAACATTGAAATACTTAAATAAAGTACAAGTATCTCAACATTGTACCCAAGTATAGTACTTGAGTTTATGAACTTGGTTACTTTACACCGCTGGCTATAACAATAGAAAGACTAAGCCTTGCACAGAGGCATGACAATACATTTTCAAAATGCTCAACAATGCTGCCAAAAATATAAACTGACTGCTACACAATTAAAATAATTGCTTTTATATATTTCTATTAGATGTGACTCTTTAGCGTTTCTGTTATTATTACCTGCTGCTTTAGTTGCTCTGACTGCTAAAGTCCTGTTATTCCTCATTTTAAAGCCGATATTCCGTGGGGTCGGGGGGCTCGGTTCCTTGTCACCTTTTTCATACCTGATTGAGTTTGCATCCCTGCTATGTGGCTTACCTCAGTGGAACATGTGATCCACATGGTAGGGTTTTCACCAACAACTCCTGAGGGAAATATCTGCCTTTTCTTTAAATGCTCCCCTATGTTCAAAAGCTGAATGCGAACATCCGTTTACTGTTTGGCGCTGGATACGAAGTGTACAATACGTTTATTTGAACTTAACAAATGGAAATGTCTGTGTGCTGTGTCTATAAACAGGATTGTTTTCAATGATAAGAATGAACTCAAACGGTAAATTCCCAAACGATAAAAAACAAAACGGTAAGCTGAAAGACACTAAAATGCTCCGTGAAGCTGAAAAGGAATAAAGACTTAAGTGAAAGGTATTTCATATCGCACACTGTGACGGGGCTCTATTTGTCCGTTCACAACACTGGCCTAGTCGGTTGGGTTAAGCTCCAAAACTTTAATAACAGCAACAAAACAAAAAATAACGAACCAGCACAACTTAAACAAAATAAATAAATGTCCAAATCAAACCGTCCATCACTCAAAAGAGTGAACATGCTCTGGTGTTGCCTTCTCTGCAACCATCTCCTGAACATGTCCCAGCTGTTGCCTTCATTGCAACATTCTTCCGAGTCCCCCTCCAGGGCCAAAAACCGTCCATTTTGAACCCATAGCCCCTCCCACAGGCTTACCGTCAACAGGTGACGCAATTACCTCAAACCACATTGTCAACATAAAAAAATCCAACCCAAACATAAAACAGGTTAACTACCTCTTAACATAATCATTTAACAAATTAACAAACACACAATAAATAATAAATTGCATGGTTCATTTCAGGAATTTAAAACACGGAAGTGATGCGCCTTCCCCTTTTCTCCGAAATGTTTGGTGTGTGTGTCGGCTGTCAGTGGCGGAGTCAGTCACTCTGTGACCCGCTCCGTCACATTATCCTCCCCCTCCCCAAGGTTGGCGATGTGCGACAACCTGGAAAGGTAATCCGCCACCTCCACGCTTTGGCAATGCGTCCAAAACCGCAACAAACAGTTCTCCATGTCCTCACCGCACTGGTACTGTGAAATCTCCGCACCGCACAGTGCCTCCACCCAGGCGCCGGCCGATCAGGCTGGCCACCGGAGTCCGATTGAGGAAACGGACCACCAACCGGAACTGAAGTCTGTAGGTCCCGGAGCTCCGCCAACAGGAACTCCTCTCGCCCTGGTTCACTGGCCGACCCCGAGGCCGCAGGAGCCGCTGGGCTCACCCAGGATGCGTCATCATTGTCATCCGTCTCCCATGCCCGCTCCGACCCGGCGGCCACGCTCTCCTCCTGCTGCTGACGCCGGGATCGTAGTCCCATGCGCCGCTCCGCAATGCCGCCCAGCTTCCTCCGACTAGCCATCCCACTTCTGACACCATATGTGACGGGGCTCTATTTGTCCGTTCACAACACTGGCCTAGTCGGTTGGGTTAAGCTCCAAAACTTTAATAACAGCAACAAAACAAAAAATAACAAACCAGCACAATTTAAACAAAATAAATAAATGTCCAAATCAAACCGTCCATCACTCAAAAGAGTGAACATGCTCTGGTGTTGCCTTCTCTGCAACCATCTCCTGAACATGTCCCAGCTGTTGCCTTCATTGCAACATTCTTCCGAGTCCCCCTCCAGGGCCAAAAACCGTCCATTTTGAACCCATAGCCCCTCCCACAGGCTTACCGTCAACAGGTGACGCAATTACCTCAAACCACATTGTCAACATAAAAAAATCCAACCCAAACATAAAACAGGTTAACCACCTCTTAACATAATCATTTAACAAATTAACAAACACACAATAAATAATAAATTGCATGGTTCATTTCAGGAATTTAAAACACGGAAGTGATGCGCCTTCCCCTTTTCTCCGAAATGTTTGGTGTGTGTGTCGGCTGTCAGTGGCGGAGTCAGTCACTCTGTGACCCGCTCCGTCACACACACGACGCAGTCATCATTGTCATGTTTGATGTAAAGGAAAATTAGTACAGCTTTCAAATAGGCAACAATTGAACTATTCCTGCACTTAAAAAGCAGAGTGGTCAAACTGGTTTTATCGCAAGTAAATACAGGTTCATTGCCAACTAGGTTTTCACTTACTTATAAACATTGTAAGAGAATAATAATATTGCATGAAATGTATATAGCAAAAGTCAACATACATAAATATACAATAGAAAAGTTACAATAAGGTAAGGACAAAATACTTTAAAAGGTATGTGCAATATATCTGTTGTGGTCCAAAAGATGTAAGTTAATGTGACAGACGGGAAGACAAGAGCATTCTGGGAGTTGTTTTGAGTGAATAAACTCAATTGGATTACAAATTAAAAATCTTGACTGAACTTGTACATTTAAAACAGAATAGAATGTTAAGGTGATGCTGACAACAGTAAGTCATCTCCCATGGTAGGTTGATATAGTATTTGTATGCTGGTTTATTTGACAGTAATAATCCAACTTCTCGTTTCCTCTGGGCTGCAGTATTTCCAGGCTCGCCTCAACACGACAGAATTGAGCAACAGCACCACGGTGGTCAGCAAAGAGTACTACTTCAACAACTGGATGACCCTGCTGTCCCAGCTGCCCCTGCTGCTGTTCACCCTGCTCAACTCCTTCCTGTACCATAGGTCAGTGACACATGTTGATATCGGTACTCGCCAAAAGCTTTATAGGAAATAAAGCTGTTTTTCGAAACACAGAAGTATTTCAATCTTCCTTTATGTTCAATAAAAGTAATGAATTGTTGTGAATCCTAGACTTTAGGTATTTGCCTTAACAAAGTCGACATATAACCAGGGCTGCACATAACTGGTGCGCAGGTGTGCATGCGCACCTCCGCCAAAAAAAGAGCACCATGTCATTTGAAAAAAGGCGCATTTGCGTACCAACATTGAGAGAGAGAGAGGGAGGAAATACTTAAATAAAATAAGTAATAACAAATTAATGTTGGCTATGGTAGGTTATTGGTTATGTTCACATACTTATTTGATTACATCCACTTGTCTAAGATGACAACAGAGACTTTTGACCCAAACCCAGCTGTTGACTTGTGGATGCAAGCAGCTAATCACAGACTCAACCAGAGAGAAAGTAATAGGCCTACATCATCAGCTACCATGTCTGACATTTAGAGAAATTAGATGTCCTTCAACATGGCGCACTGAAATTCATTTCCGGGTCACTACCGGAGGAACGAGGAGTCGAGGAGGGGGATTTGATGAAATGAGAAAGGGCCAGAGAGGAGAACAGTCAGGAGGGTAGTGATGACAGCTTGTAGGATTACTGGTCGTGCTAATGTTGTCTTGTGTTCACCTCTGCATGTGTGTTCTGTGTTCACCTCTGCATTTGTGTTCAGTGCCGTGTGTCTGGCAAATAAAGTCAAGACCCCCTCAAAAGTTACAGTTTATTTCATTTTAAGGATGAGCACCAAGCAACATCTCCAGGTGCTCCTTTGAGAACCAGGGCAAAAAAGTTGTGTGCACCCCTGCATATAACGTGTTTCCGTGCCAAAATATTCGTCTGTGGTGTATATAGGACTGGGCAACACATCAATATTTTATCCATGTTAATATGAGACTTGATATCTTGTTAGATCTGAGATATTGTAATATCTTAAGTGTTGTCTTTCCCTGGTATTAAAGGCTGCATTACAGCAAAGTCATGTCATTTAAAAACCTTTTTTAACAGTCATTACATGATTATTGATCAAATACATAATTGTGTAAATAGTCTACTAAAGTGATCTCTACAAAATAAATAATATGTGAAATAAATCAAGTTAATATCTTATCCATTTTGATGTTTGTTTGAATGACATATTTCTTGTTTCAGGATATCAGAGGCAGTGCGCATCGCAGGCAGCCTGGTTTTCATCCTGCTGCTCTTCATCCTCACAGCAGTGATCGTCAAGGTGCCCATGGAGGAAGATCGCTTCTTCTCCGTCACCATGGCTACTATCTGGTTCATCAACTGTAAGTCAGTGTGTGTGTGAGAGTAGAAGCCTGACAGAAAAAGAGGCTGAGAGTGCATGTGTTTTAATTTGATTTATTTACAAGTTTTAAAAAAAAACAATCACAAGTCATAATGGAGAAATGTGAAATGGATGAGAATTGGGGCCCAGACTCTAAACATTAAGTATTTACCATAGACTGTATATATAAATGGACGTAGGGTCCGTGACGTCACCCATAGGATTCTGCAGAGTTGCCGTGAAGCCCTTAGTAGGCGGAGTCGGCCACTAACGGCTCAACAGTGACGTCAAAGTTCAACTCCCGCCTTCTCCAGCCTGCTCCAAATAAGGGCAAAGAGGCGGAGCCGAGGCGGGACCTGCTGCCACCGAGCTGGAAGTTCCAGAGCTAGCTGAAGCTACCAAGCTAAGCTAACATGCTCCCCATCTGCACGCTGCCGTCGCATTTTACGTTTCTAAGGTAAGCGGACATGAAACTATTCAGCAAAACTATAAATAATAATCTAAGTTATTGAGCTTTTAGCATAATACTTCAGAATCTTAAAACCCCTTAACGTTTGTATGCAATTGTGCTAAATTCAACTCTGGAATCAAGCAAATATTAATATGTTTGCATGACATTAGTTATTTATATTTTGATATCACTTAACTATACGTTTAATACATTTAAGTCAAGCTAAGGTACATGTGATGGAAGCTAGTTAGTGCTCTTACCTGTGAGGCCTCCTCCAAACAGCATAATAACCAGACTATATCATTAAAACTAAGTACCAGTTCTAGATCCTTGACTTTAGACAAACAATTCAAAAGACAAAATGTATTTAAAGACCAATCTTTATTTGAATGTGCCTCTTAACCTGAGATATTAGTTATACAGTAATAGTATTGACAATCTAAAAAAACTGAGCAACTCAACAGTCAACTTTATGTTTCTTATTGTCTAAAGCATTTATTATTTTCATTTTCCCCCTCTCATATTCAGTGTGGACGGATTGAGACAGCCTGGTGTCCAGATAGCAGCAGAGACTTCAGGGAGAAACCTCCGTGTGATGGACGTCCTGTCTGTTGGTTTGGAGAGGACTGAGGGTCTTTCCTCTGCGAGGAGGACCAGGGCTGATGAAGGAGCCCATGCTGGGCAAAGCTGATACCACTTTATTTGACTAAATGTGTTTAATACATTTAATAGGTTTACACCTTCTGTCCATATGTGCTTTTTATTTAAAACATTTGATTAACTTTTGGTTCACATTTCAATAAATTGTATTTGTATTTGCACTCCTTTTGTCCATTAGTCTTACTGAAAATGTTAGATTACACATTCACATCTGACTGAAGATTGGCCCCATTTATTTGTGACGTTGCAAACTCTGCAGTACAAGGCACAAGTGATGTGAAGCTCATAAAGTGAGGCAAATAGAAATAATCAGCGGATGGAATGTAGATGTGGAAATAGCTGCATTCGATCAGCTGACTGTTTTTACAATAAAAGTAGTTTCTTAGTGAATGTCCTGTACTGGTCTTAAAATCTCATAACATCAGCTTTTAATGTTCCTCTTGGATGTTCTTCTTGACCCTCAGAGAAGGAGAACATGTCGTGTCTTTCAGGCATGTCTTTTCCTAACAAAAATGACAGGAAACATAAAACATATTATTGCAGAACAAGTGTGTTATTTATGAAAGCGGTGTGTTTGTGTGTTTAGGGGCTGTAGATATAATTATTTTGTAATTGTAATGTTTTTTTTTTATTTCAACAATGAGCTACAAAGACAATCAGATTATGAATGAACAGTATGAAGTTCATCAACATTGAAATATATGTTATTATCAAAATAATATTGAACTGTTATCAAAACGTAGTGCAACTGTAGAAGCTTGCTCTGTTGTCTCACTGAAAGAATAACTTTTACCACGTTTTTTACAGACAATATTGAGAGATAAATAGTAGCAGTTCTCACTATGTGTTAAATATCTTTGCCTTCAATACATTAAATTAGAAAGCTGACAAAGTCATATTGCTAAATATCTAAATGTAACTTTTTGCATGGAAAAAACCCTCAACTTCACTGATGTGTAGGTGATCTAGTATTTAGTATTGTTTAATGGAATGTATATCAGTGTATTCAAGTCAATACTTCATTCATTTAAACCAATATCTTTCTTGATTCTTTGTACAGTATGAAAAAAGAGTCTTTGTACCTGTGCTGAAGTTCACTGCTGTGAGGAGTCCAGTTCTGTCTCTCACTCTCTGGTCCAGCCTGTCTGCATCACCTGGACACCTTAAACAAACACATATATATATATATATATATATATATACACATATATATATATACACATATATATACACATATATATATATACACATATATATATACATATATATATACACATATATATATACATATATATGTATATGTATATATATATATATATGTATATATATATATATATATGTAAAGTACCATGTGTACAAACAATATAACTGATTCTCTTCTGTTGAACATGTTGGATTGTGTATTGTCCGAGTCAGGGGCCTTTTTATTTTACTGTAACTTTGGAAGTTGTGTTACCAATGCTTACTGTTTATTTGATACCCATTTGGTAATGCAATTAATAAAAACAACAAGGTTTGGGTTTGTTCTTCAGATGACTGTGACGTTAACGTGTAAGCTCAATAATGAACTCCAGCTCAACCAACCATATTGTAATATCTAAGTAATCATCTTGAAATATGACATTAATAATTGTAATATACACACATCTTATTGTGAGGTTGATTTCACATACACTACTTCGACATTAGCTTGTCTACATACTTGAGCATAGCCAATTTAAATTAACCTTAGATGCATACAGTTCCTACCTACATAATAAAATATCTCTAAGTTACAAGGATGTAACCTTATTTTATCAACCTCAAACAGAAGCCGTTTGTTCAACAGTATTATCCCACTTAACACTTGTCTATTTCATTGTAACCTTTATATATACAGTCTATGATTTTAACTTGGAGGCTACGATTAGCATCGTTAGCACCGATGTAGCTACCACTAGCTTACATGCTAACCCAAGCCTTACCATTCATTACGTAGCTGATTAAAATCATTATCACATAAATAAAGCACTCAAATTTCACTGACCGCATTCATGCACAGTCTATATGCCCTGGCTGCAGAACGCGGAATGGGGCGGGGTCGGATAAAAGGCGGGGTCGGACGTCCGACCCCGCCTCCGCCCCATTCCGCGACCCCGCCTTGTGAGTCCACATTACACATCAGCTGTTTCCCTACCAAGAAGAAGAAGAAGAAGAAGAAGAAGAAGAAGAAGAAGAAAGAAAAAAAAAAAAGATAGAAGAACCATGTGATCACCTAGTTGGTCTGTTTGTCCGTGTTATTACATTTGAAGACGATCATACATCATCATTATCATGGAAGGGAACGACCGAAGGTAATAAATTATGTATTATGTAACCCAGTAGACATTCGCTGCCAAGTTCCTACCTTGTAAGTTGTCTGTATGGCCGTACCAATACATTAGCGCAGCATGCTTGGTCTTGAAATGTTCGTAAGAATCCATAGATGTAGAATATCAACATTGTTCATCTTGATGTGTTTTTTAATTCTTACAAACCAACTGAATCGATCTGCTTAAAGAAATAACAACATTTGATACATGTAGACTCTGATTTGAATGTATTCCATTTTGTGTTCTTCCTCAGACACCATACCATTCTTACTGAGGGAGAATAACCTGTGCCCCTAAAGTCTGCCGGTTCACCTTTTTATCAGTGCCCATTCTGCTCTTATAAGACTGCAGAAAGGCATTTGGTGATTAACCACATACAAAATCATGCAACGGTGAAACATAAAGGTAAAAGCCAATGTTAGGGCATAACTTGAACAACAAACAAAATGCATGTGAACAGACAACATACATATGTATATATAGGTACTTTATTTATCCCAAAGGAAAGTGATGCACAAGCAAGGCAGAAAGATACATATTTAAAATACTAGTAAAGGGTAAAAGTAAACAAGTAGAAAACTGAGGTATTACCTTTATACTGGTGTACAGCAGAAATAGCCTTAAATATGCACTGTAAATATACTGCATCTATAAGCATATAAGCACTACATACATACATGTATTGCTACCAAAAAGAGCTGCAAACTATTGTTAACTGTCAGCCACTGTCAGTTGCAGCACACAAAGGTTAAAGGTAGCATATAATAGTGTTAAAATGTGCAACAAAAAGTAAAAGTAGCTCTTTTTTTAGTTTTAGTTTTGGAAAGTAGCTCTCATCCTAAAAAAGGTTGGAGACTGTTATAGAACGATACATTTGACAATTTTAAGATTGAAAAATGAAGCTTAAGAGGAACAGGTGGGGCTTGAAAAGGCCCACCTGTTCAAAGTGGGGAATGACAGAAAAAGTTTGAGAACCACTGCTGTAGGAGAAGCACCCCTTTATAAGTAGTGCTATGGCGGCATCTCAGTGGTGCTCTGCAAAGAATATGGGAGATAAAGTCATCCTGCCACAAATTCTTTCCATGGCCCCACTGGACAGAGAAGCAGCTCTCCATAACCTTGGTGAAGCCAGCAACCTGCGGGACGAAGACAGCTGGGAAGACAGGATGGACCCATTTATGTTCAGGTTCAAATTTGAGTCGGACTATTTAATGTTTTTTGAGCAGTGCATTGACAAAGAAAACCTTAAGGTTCATGCCTGTTTTGAAGAGCGCGGTTGAATGTTTGCATCAGCAAAGCCTTTCACTGTTGTATAGATTTTTTTTTTTTATACTTGGTTTGGTTTTTATATTTACTGTATTTGCTTTTTCGGTTCTGTTATCTTAATGATTGTTCTGTTATATGATAAATGTTGTAAATAATAAATACTTTTTCTATCATTCTATGAAATGCAGTGCAATGTATCATTTGAAATATATGGACTAGATATGAGTATGCACAGAACTAACTAAATGAATAATCAATTAAAACAAATATTAAATAATGAACTTAAATACACTAATAGAAAATATGACTTTTTATACCACATGTTTAAATACATTCATGCATTTAATTAGTATGAAGTTTTTTAATTATATTTAGTCGAGTGCAGATTTGTATTTGTACTTATTGTAGTTGTCCAGCAGATGATGCTGTTTGTGTCATTAGGATATCCATACACCCCGCCCATCGGACGTCCAGCCCCGCCCACATCCGACCCCGCCCCATTCCGCGTTCCGCAGCCAGGGCCTATAGGAATGGGGCGGAGGAGGGGTCGGACGTCCGACCCCGCCCACATCCGACCCCGCCCCATTCCGCGTTCCGCAGCCAGGGCATATAGTCTCGAGCAGGTAGCAGAGAGACAAGAAGCTAACAGCGGCAGGCACTTGACAGAGCCGTCACTCAATGTGACCACGCCCTAATTTATGCACACACTTTAAGACCTAATATAAATAAAAGGGTCGCGTTAGAAAACAATTCACTCACAGATCCATAATCATGAAGGTGGAATCTAACTATATCGATAATAAAATGTATGGAGCCAGGGGTAAAAACATCTTTTTTTCTGCCGTAAAGTTGGGCATTTTAACATGGGGGTCTATGGAAATTGCTCCTTTCTGCAGCCATCGCCTATCGGCCAATATATGAACTGCAGTGTGTGGCACTTCCGTATTGGCTTCCCGGCTCTACCCCACAGTTTGCCGCTTGGTATTTACGTAAATGTAATGAATCGGTCCGATCTCATGTATTATACAGAAACATTTCAAGCTAAACACCATCCACACACCATCAAACTAGACTTATCTAACACTAATGGCGCATTTCCACTGCAGCGGGTAGCCCCGTTTAAGCGTCCTTAACCGTCCTCAAGCGGCCAGGCCGGTTTTTGGTGGCGTTTCCATATAGCCTAGTACCGGCCAGCGGGTACTTTTTCCGGCCTCATAAAATCGTGGTTCCCTCAGACCAGGGCCAGGGCTGAACTAGTGACGTCAACACTCTCGACTGCTGATTGGTCAGAGAGAATCGTCACAAGATTGCGCGCGAGTTCATCCCTAGCGTCGCATATATATCTAGAAGCAAGCTTGCAGCATTTTTATAAACAGCATTTTGTAAACGGATGAGCTACAAAAATGGCTACGTCTAATAAGAAAAGCACACCGTGGTCGACCGAGGAGGTGACGACGTTCCTACATCTCATTGGGGATGATCAAATCCAGCGGGAGCTCGACGGAACAACTCGAAATGTGAACAAAAACAAAGCCGATCGCCCCGCCTACACTGCGTTGCTACCCCAGGTCCTAAACTGTAATGGAAATGCGCCACGGCCTGGGCCGGCCAGCGAGGCAGCCCGAGGCCAGAGCGAGGACACTTAGGGACGCTTAAACGGGGCTACCCCGCTGCAGTGGAAACGCGCCATAACTCCTAAATGGTCCCAAGACATTTATTTCATCAGACTAAACACAGACCCATTACAAGGGAAAATAATGGTATATATATATAAATGCATTCCAAAGTAAGATAAACTTGTGTAAATCTTTAGACATTTATTGTATTCAAACTTACTGATATATGTGCCTAACAACTGCTGCCTAAAGAACTTTTAAAAATAACATTTTTTATAGTGTTATCAATCTCACACCATACCCGAGGACCTCTGCACACCACACTAAAGCTCGTAAATTTAAGTTTGAATTTTTTACATTAGAAATGTCCTAGTCTTATTGTATGCGACAGGTCCCACAGTCTGTCGTTGAGCACATAAACTACATTCTACTTTGAACCGGAGTGTGCTATGTCCCACCTTTAGGCGGCGTGACATCACTATGTACCAGTCATGCTTCAATTTGCTTAGGCTTCAACACATTGTTTGTTATAGGCTAAGGGGTGGGACATCGCTAAGCAGTTGACCAATCAAAAATAAATCCTCTTCTGCTGCTGGCAGTGGAGCCTTTGAGCTCTTCCTTGGCCAGGTGCACCTCGCAGGGCAGCTCGTCACAACAATGCAGCACACCTGGGCGGAGCTACTGGAGGGGGAATATGCACAGGGAACACATACAGCCGTAACCATATACAGTCTATGGCCGTTACACACGATGATAAATGATGCTTTTTCTCCGCAGCCTTCGGGGCCGTGCTGCAGGGCAGTTGTTTCGGCCTGGTGGGTCTCCTGCCTCAGAAGTACAGCACAGTGTTCATGAGTGGCCAGGGCCTCGCCGGGACCTTCGCTGCCATCGCCATGCTGCTCGCCATCGCCAGTGAGCCACCCACACACACACACACACACACACACACACACACACACACACACACACACACACACACACACACACACACACACACACACACAAAACTCCCCCTGGTGCCAAATCCCCAGTTGCTTAGTAACAGAAGACATTCAAAGTGGCTGTCAAATCAGCGTGACACCACACAGCACACTCTGCTTCATTTCAAAGACACAGCGCCTGTTTCTCTCTCCCAGAATTCCTAATCGGCTCTCTTTACGTTTGTCACTCAGGCGACGCGGACTCTGAGACGGCAGCGTTGGGTTACTTCATCACGCCATGTGTCGGGACGCTGGTCACGCTGGGCAGCTATGTCCTGCTGCCCCGCCTGGTCAGTTCCCAACTCAGCACTACATTACCCACAATGCACTCAATCTTACCTTAACTAGGCTATCATCTCTTTTGTTGAACCATGATTTGTAAATACACAATCAGGCTTTTTAAGAAAGTGTTTGCTTCATTTATTGGGAAGAAAAATGTCTGTAAAAACTTCAGCACACATTTCAATAAAGCTAAATAGCTCATTATCAAAGATGTAAAACAGGAGTATCTTGGGGACATCTACTCTAATGTTTGTCCGATCTACTTCTAGTTTATAGTGCTATTAACCAAACAGCCTCAATCATGTTTTTACTTGTTTCCATGTTTTATTTGAGCTGTGAGTTCAACTGATTGCTGTCTGTTGCTTCCACACAGGAGTTTGCCCAGCATTATCTGAACAAAAGCGTCAAGTATGAGGCAGGCACCACGGACGAGTTGCTGAAAGGTGGGATTTTGGCTTCAACAAACTCTTTTTCACACCCTCTGAATGAATGCTATTTGCATCCAAGTGGGAACCAAAGGGACACCTTTCATCATCTGTTCCAATTTTAAAGTGCAAGCTCATTTTGTTTGTAGAATCGAGATAAGGAATCGTTTGTCTGACAGTGAGAGAACTCGTGTTTGCTTTGCGACTTAGTCCATAATTCTGTGCCTCGCTGTCTGGTTGAATGAAACCCATTCAGTGGACATTATCTCGTTAAGTGAGTTGTCCCTCCATTTATCCAATTTAGAGTCCTGGCAGACAAAGAGTGTCTCACTCAAAGAGGCCCACACTGTGGTTTTTGGCTGTTTTCTTTGGATGCTCAAAAACTAATAATTCACAAATTCCCATGTCATATTTGATCTATTTCCTCCCAATACATTATGAACAACAACCATTTTATGTGGTAATGGAACAGTGAAATACACGTTTTTTAAATGTTGAATTTCAGAGAGCAGCACAGTGGAGAATGGCAAGCTGAACGGCCATGCTAACGGCACAGCGACCAGCAGCAGCCCAGAGGGGGGGGCTGAGGTGGAGGGAGACCCCGGGACAGAACGGCCCAAGCCCGCCTTCCTGTCGCTGGAGCAGGAGGAGAAGGGGCAGGCCAAAGCCTCCGTCGTAGAGGTCTTTAAGAAGGTAACCTTGAGGTTTGATGGTAACAACAGTTACTCTTTTCTGTGTGCTTCACATTTATTCACTGCTGCAATTCTTTGAATGTGTTTATTAAATTTCAATTTAAGTGTTAAGTTCAATCAGTGGTTATTCATTAGATTTGACTGTGACAACAAGACTTATCTCAGCTACTACACAAGGTGTTGTTTTTCTCCCAAGGCTCTCAGGGTGGGCCTGACACAGATAAACACTGGGTTTCACCCTTGGGAACACGTTTTGAAGTAGCTGAAAGATACCTCTTTCAGTGTATTCAAGGCTGGGAAAGAAGATCCTTTTGGGTTTATATGTAGCCTCCGAGACCTAAGCACCGATTGGTACAGAGTACCCACAAGGCAAAATACTATTTATTTTGTCTTCAATATTCAAATCTCCACCACTGATGTAGAAAATAAATGAGAACATAAGAGCAGAGTGGAGAAGAGGGTACAGATTTCCATCCTGCTATAGTTCTTATTGATGTATATGTGCGTGTTGCAAATACTGATTCAACTTTTTTAGATAAAAAAATACGTTTTATCATGTCTTGAAGATTCTATCCATTACATTCATTTTTGTATCACTTTTAAAAAATGTTAATAATAATTGATATGGAAACGTTCTTTGCAGCAATGTTGAGCCAATGTTCTTGAAATGAGGGAAACTGGATTCGCCTTAGGCAATACACTGATATTTATTGAGAGACAAAACGGCCGGAGGACTAACAAAGCAACTCGCACTGTTTAATGCAAGCTGCCAAATTAATTCTGCCCACACAAAGACGGAACCGCTCGAACCTGGTCTCTGAGAAGGGGCGGAGCCTAGAAACGCGGGTCTTTACCCCAATCGATTCCAGATGAACAAACAAAGAGGCATCGGGCAGTAAACCCTTCCCCCACACAGGGAAAGAGAACCCATACAACCTGGGTCATGTAAAGTTTCTCAGGACAGCTAAGAACACAAAGACATCAGACTAAAATATTCCTTTACAATAATAATGTTCATTTTGTATTAGTTAAAGCAGTCAATTGCTTTTTTCATATATATTCTACATACTGTATATATTCCCTTATTGTGAAACACTTTGAGCTGCATTTCTTGTATGAAAGCTGCTATTCAAATATACATTATTATAATAATAATACAACTAAGATAGTTCTATTTACAAAATAAAGTTTTCTTTAGGGTTCAGTTGTGACATAATAACACAATAACATATTTATTATTAGTCTTTGTTTAGAATCAAAGCATCTAAGTCCCATTAAGTGTATGAAATATTTTGTCTGTTTTCTTTGGTTTAGATCTGGGTGATGGCGTTCTGCGTGACGTTTGTGTTCACGGTCACTCTGTCCGTCTTCCCCGCTGTCACTGTAGATGTCAAGACCTCCTTCCCAGGAAAATGGGGTATTTCCAGTCAGATCTCTGCTCAGCTACTGGATATCTATACTCGTGTATTAACAGTTTATCTCTTATTAACATCTATTCCTCCTGATGCTTGTTCTCCCCTCAGAGCGCTTCTTCATCTCAGTGTGCTGCTTCTTGATTTTCAACCTCAACGACTGGTTCGGTCGGACCGTCACCACTTTCATATGTTGGGTAAGTATCTAATAAAACAATTCTACTCTTTATATATCTGTAATTTGAGTTTAACATAGGTCACAAAGCATTGTTTACAATGGAAACTGTGTATGTCACTCCCTGCTGACATTTCTAAATATTGCACACGCAGGAATGTGATAGTTTAGAATGACCTGTAAGATATATTGCCTTTCCCTCTCTTATTCTTTTTAAAAACATCCCCAACTGTTTCAAATCTACTTCCCGCCCTGATGTCATTAAAAGCTTTTAACCCCTTCATCTCCTCCCACCTGTCTCCTCGCAGCCTGCTAAGGAGTCTCGTCTGTTCCCGCTGCTCGTGGTCTGCAGGGTGGTGTTCGTCCCGCTGCTGATGCTCTGTAACGTCCAGAACCGCTACTTCCTGCCCGTCTTCTTCAGCCACGACGCTGCCTTCGCCTTCATCATGACGCTCTTCTCTCTGTCCAGCGGATACTTCGTCTGCCTGTCCATGTCCTACGCTCCTCAGTGAGTCCAAACTACTGAATCTTTCATGCATAGATGTGACATTAAAAACACACATGTCAATACTCGTCCATAGTTACAACTGCACAACTATAATAACTCTCATATATGTTTTTACACCATTTATTCTTTCCTTATGTGGTCATCCTTTGGTTCTGGTTTAATGTTGCTACGTCATACCTAATACTGCTGTGTCAAATGTTGGTTTTGCAGCAAACCCAACTACAGTATGTTGACTGTTTGTTGTTTCAGCTCATCATGTTATGTTCAAGGATGCTCAATGCTCAATGCTCAATGCTCAATGTATGAAGCTTAATGATATAGTTACAAATGTAAAACACCCAAAAAGAGACTTTTAGACAGAGCTAAGTTTTGTTTGCAGACATTAACAATGCTTTATGAAACTGCACCAAGTTGTCATACAAGTCGTTTCTTCGTGTTCCTTAATGGAGATTTTACAAAAAGAATGTGCATTAAAATAACTAACATTAACTCAAGTGGAAACTAAATATTAAAAACATACAGAATAAAACCATAGATAATACTCCACCAATTGATCCCCACTCAAACCATTCTTACTACTCCTGTAAATGTTTGTAGCTTATGATTTTAAATAGTTTCATATCATTTCAGGCACACATCCAGGTCCTTGTGCCAAGACACCCTGGCCTATTTATTGACGCTGAATGCCTGAATGTGAAACAGCAGCAGTGGAAAGGTCGGGTTACACAGCTGTAACTGAATACAGCTGTAGGACAGTCAACAGTTAAGACCAGTGAGTTAGAACAAGCAACTTGAACTTCTTTACAGAGAGGTAAGGTGTCATTAACAGCTTAAGAATTATAACCTTAAATGTACTTAGGAAGTGTAAAGACCTCAGCAGTGTCAGAATATTCTGGAAATGGTTTGCAGGAATCTGCTGGAAAGCTTGTTGTTTTAGGACATGGACTCTACGCTACGGACATTTGAATGTAAAATATGGAGGCATTCAAATGTCCAGGGAAATGATAGGGAACAAAGAAGCGGCAGACATATTGAATACCAACACGTTTATTAAAGAGGCCCTGTTGTGCTTTTCCCTTCCCTGTAGTGTGTTGTATAGGTGTGTGTGGTTCTGTATAGGTTTCTGCAAAGGCTGAAATCCATGTGTTGCCTCCAGAGGGGGTTTCTCTCCCACACACTCCCCCCCTCTCCCTGCCTGAAACGCCTCCGCTGGACTCCTTTTTTTAATCCACCCTAGGCTGAATTTGCTTAATTGAACTGTATTTAAATGCATATAAGCTTTCCATATTTTTGTTTATTTTTATACTATTTTATTTGTAAGTCGTGTAGTAAAGCCAAAGATGATTTCAACATGTTGGACGGTAATGGTTCTAACTTAAAATATAACCCATAAAGCAGCAGCCAACTAATACATCTCTGAGTCCCCTTGAACGCACCAACAAGGTGTGTCCAAAATCACTTCTGTTTGAGCTCTATCACCATGGCAACATTGCGTACCTGCGACACAAACAACAAGCTGAGCCTCAACAAAAGCCCCAGTGTGGTGATCATGTCTGACCCTGTGTTCCTCCGTCCTCAGGCTGGTGGATAAGAAGGACGGAGAGACTGCTGGAGCCCTGATGACCTTCTTCTTGGCCCTCGGTCTGTCCATAGGAGCCGCCCTGTCCTTCCCCCTGAGGGCTCTGGTCTAGACACACACACACACACACACACACACACACACACACACACACACACACACACACACACACACACACACACACACACACAGCACTGCATAAACACCGTAGGATATTTTCCCAAAAGGAGGAATCAGATTTGTTTTGTCTCTCCAGGACGACTTCCTCTCTTCTTTCATCCGTCAGGTGCTGTGTGTGAATTGGCTCGCTAGGTGTTATAATGAGCGCCAGGGTTCCTGTTGAAAGTAGGAATAAGGGATAAACGGTATGAATGGTTTTGTTACCTGCTGCTAAAACACATGTTGGGAAACACTTCTCTCCGTGCAGCTGACACAGGACTGGTTTTGTTCAGATTTCTACATGGTTAGATGTATTTTTGTTTAATTAAGGTTAGTCGCTTTAGGGCATTACGCTATATTTTTGTATTTGATTGATGGCTTGAATGCTTTGTGTTACATGTATTATATCAGGTATTTCTGATGTATTTTCCTTCATATGATTAATTTTTTTTTTAATACAATAGATTTATGTTACGGATGTAGAACAAAAAATGTTGTAATAATGTTAAATTCCCAATGGAAGGTTAGGGACCCGCCTCAAAGGCTTGTGTAGATTGATAAACAGGGCCAAGCAGTCGGGGGCCCCGGACCCCTGTTGAAGTGACAGTATTTCCTGTTGCAAGGTAAATCCAATGCCATATAGACACTGAAACTACTACAGAGACATGCAATGACAAAGACATGTACACTACCACAAAGTGGCGCAAGATGAATACAAAACACATACAATTACTACAAAGACATACAAAACTAACAGATATAAATGCAAAATGAACAAAAGGACACTCAAGATGAATCATTTGACTTGCCTGTCTCTTCTCTCTGTGCAGCAAACGGGATCAGTTGTTTCTTTAGCCTCCTGGCTACTACTGCCATCTACTGGTGAACACATGTAAACCCTTCAGGAATGAATTTTCTTTGAGGTCACTGCTGACAGACAGGAAGTGGACCTGGGTTACGGTTAGCAGGTTATATGAGTAGGACCACATTCTTCTGCTGACATGAGGAAGTAGATTAACTCTCAGTTACTCTAACCGCTGCAATTTTGTTACTAACTGTACACATGTAGTGGTGCTGCTGTTGCTGTAAGCCATTCAAAAAAGCATTTGAATCATGTGGAAATTAGATTTTTTTTTTACAGATATTGAATTTAACTGTCAAATAGTATTGGACTTTTTTAGACATTGCTGCCAATGTGCCAAGCTCCACTGACAGTTTTGTTATGATTTGTTTTCTTATTGTAGTGCACACAAATGTATATGAATCAACTTAATGGTGTAGATTTGTTTATGTTTACGATATCTATATAGGTTGAATGTATTGCTTACTTGCTCAAAAAGCGTTCATTTAGGATTCAAAGTGTTTTTATTAGATTTTGTGATGATGTAAATAAGGAGATTCATGATGAGTGTGAGTTTACTGTCTCATGTAAAAGGGGAAAATTGACCGCTGCTGTTTCAAATGCACATTACATTACATTACATTACATGGTACTTGTTAGACGCTTTTATCCAAAGCGACTTACATACTGTGGGCAATCCCCACAGGAGCAATTAGGGGTGAAGTGTCCCAGGGACACAACGACATGCTCTGTAGTGGGACTCGAACTTGCTACCCCCTGATTCGAAGTTCAGCGCACTACCCACTGAGCCACAGCCTCCAACCAAGGGCTGAGTCCTGATGAAGGAGCGATATTAATGGGACTTTTAGAGGTTACTTGATTCCTGCTGCATTCACATTTAGTGGGAATTTGAACTGAACAAACATGCATTTATATTTGACTTGATGGTTAACAGCAAACAACTAAGGCAATGTAAGCCCAAAGTAGACAAACACATCTGCAGGTGATGAACAACATCTTTCAGTAGGAAGTGAGGTGAACCATATTTCTGACAGAATGTGAATGCAGCATCGGTTTTTGGGATGGAGAACTCGGACCATGATTTAACCCCGGGATCCTTATGTGTAGTTCAAAGACATAACCCAAGCGTCTTTGAGCACTAGGAAAAGTGCTATACAAATCCTATGTATTATAAGAAACAAACAACACTTTTTCCCCTTCTACTTCTACACTTGACGAATGTAGGTTTTTGGAGTTACCTGGGAAATAATACAACAGTATGTAACCGTGATAATCAGCCTTAATAATAATGAAACCCAGTTTTAAGTTTTATGTTGTGTTCACATCATATTGGCTGTAAATACTGCTGCCTGCCTCTTTGTAGTGTGTGTGCTTGTGGTGCTAATTCCAGATGTGCTAACATGGAGCACAGAACAGTCCTCTAACATAAGCAACAACACCAGAGTAATCTTGGGTCCATGCATCCAAAGCAACATGTCATTCAAATGTGTTTTCACATCCTTAACACTGCGGTCATGTGATCCATTATGTGCAGCTGACTTGTGCTCCATACAGACAGGATCATCAGTAAAGGGAATCCATGCATGTGCATCATGTTTCTTTATAGATCTGACTGTCAATAAATGGATGCTTTCAACTAGTGTTTGTAAATGGCCATTTGTATGCTGTTAAATGGGATATAAGTTATGACATCAAACCTTTGAATCTGAAATGCTCAAACTATTTATTCTTCTTCATGAGTCATGTTTTTAAATGACCTGTGGACATGGACTTTGTTAAAGAGGCCCTATTAGGATTTTGGGGGTATGTCCTTTCCAGTAGTGTGTTATATGGTTTTTATGTAAATGTTCTTCAAAGGCTAAAATCCCTGTGTTCCCTCCAGAGGGAGTTTCTCTCCCACACACTTCCCCCCCGACACGCCTCCACTGGACTCCTTTGTTTCATTCTGTAATATCACATCACTGTTACACTCACGCTTCTATTGGCTAGGCAGAGAAAACCCCAGAGAGCATAATAGGACCTTTTGAATGGTCTTGTATGAAGTCTTCTTGATGAACTGACTGGCTCAGTGCTGATGGACGATATTTTAATGATGAAAAATGAGTTCAGTAACCAATCTTAATAGACAAACATGTCAATATTTATTATTTTTGATTTGCACATGTAAATTGAGAAATCATCACAATACCTGTACCTTCTGTAAAATAGAGATGCACCAATAGCAATATCAGACATTTGGGCACAAAAGTACATTTAAAGTTAAGTGTAGTCAAAGTAATTTTTTGTTGCCAATTAAAATAATCCAAAATCAACCATTAGCCTGAATAAAATGATCTGGATTTGTACAGCTGCCACAGATTTACTTGGCAAAAAAAGATGTATCTTCTTTGCTTCCTTGTGCTATTTGCATTTCATGTGTCACGTTTCAGTTTTCAAATGAGCTCCCTGGAGAAGTGATTTAACTGGAATAACCACACAGAACATTGAGAAGTGTTCATTTTCCTGTATTATTTATTGAAAACCCAGCAGTCGTCATTAATACCTGTTGTGTCTGTACAGGGGGGGTAAAGGAGATGTGGTAAACTAAACTAGTTGTCATTCTGTTGTCAAGAAGGGGAAAAAAGCAAAAGTCAAAAACACTCCGATATGCTACTGAATGAAACCCCTGTATTGTTTTTCCTTTTAAACACTTGTTTTAAAAAATGTTACGCAGATGAGAAGAAAAAGCTTTGAGGAAGAAGAAGAGAGTGACAGCAGCTCAGAGGGGGTCAGGAAGAAATGAAGATGAAAGACAGTGGGGTCTCTTTTGAAATAGTTGTGTTCGGTTTCCCTCTGCCAAGTGTTGCTTTGACTTCTTTTGTGTTGTGGAAAGCCAACAGGAGACAATCTTTGACATTCATGTCTCTCTCTCGTTCTCTGCGTCTCTTCCTCCCTCTCTTCTTCATCGTTTCTTTGGAGGTTGGGCTGTGCGAGGAGGAGTGATGGGCCGACCCGAGTTCATCCCTCCATACTGGTACTTGGCTTTCTTCTCAGATGGCTTTAGGATCTAGGATAAGACACAGGACATATTTTAACTCACAGAAAAACGATCTGTTTTTCAAATACTTCACAATCCAGGCCTTGTGTCCTGTCCTGAGTAGGAAATCACTCCCAAGTGTCCAACACTTCTCAAAGTGAAGCAATTTTGGGGCCTACAAGTATTTTTTTATTTTGGAGTTTTAACCATAAGTATGCTACATGTCTAGTTGCGTGATTACAAGTCTTTTTAAAGAACTCACAAAAAACTAAAGAAATTCAGTCAAATAAATCAGACTTAAAGAAGCTGATGGTGCGTTCATGAATGCGGGAGGGCAGAGCTCCAGAGAGGTGACGCTCTACTGACACTATAAAGAAGGCTACACAATACAATGTAGTGTGTAGCCTTCTTTAATGTAACAGGAGTGGCAGTATACCAGATACCATCGCAATACATTTTCTGTTGAAATAACACTGCATTTAATTTGTGTTTACTGCACATGGATTACAGATATTCTAGTACTCATTTCATCCTGCTATTAGTAAGCTTGCACCTTACTATCATTTGTTTTTATTCGGAAAACTCCAATTGCTACAAAGAGACGGTGTTAATAATTCTATGGAATTGTTTTCACAAAAGGACAACAAGGATATATCAACTTGTTTTTGAACTAATGTGTGGCCCTATATTTTATTACTTTATTGTTGGCTCTTTATAATAAAAGTGCAGTTTGAGAGAATAAGATTGTCATCTCATAATTAATTTTGGCAACACATATTTTCATTTACAGACAGATAACCTCGGTAAGTTACCCAGATTGTACCCATACTAAGTGATAAGTTATGCTGTTTCCCTGCATGCTAACTAGAGCACAGCCATGTCGGCACTTTGCTGTGACGTCCTACCTGGAAGGAGCACATCAGGGTTTCGTCCACGCTCATCATGCCGCCGGCGTTGTCGAACTCTCCGCAGTAGTTGGGAGCCGAGAACAGAGTCACCAGCTGCCGCTTGGCGAAGAACTCATAACCGTCTTCTACCACCTGGGGGCGCCAGACACAGAGTCATTGGAGAGCAGATCATCGACATCTGATATGGACAGCAGCAGATCATGCCAATATGTAAACTGTAAATAGAACGTGTTGAACAACGAGGAAGCCTAAAAATATCATTACCTGTCCTGGAATCCATTTCTATTTATATAAATGGTTAAATGATAAGGGGACGTCAGTGGAAATGGAGTATTCCACTTTAATCGTCACACACCACCACCAAGAGAAAGTTAGTCTCTGTATGTAGGCCCGTCAGTAGTACCCAGAAAGTGAACTGGCATTTCTCAAACCACCAGTCCACTCTCCATACTTGGTCCGTTCTTGGATTTGAACCCGTGACCCTCTGTTTCCCAAGCCAAGTCTCAAGGACTGAGCTTCTGCCGTACCTGGTGGGCTCTGCAGATGAGGTCCAGGTCGTGGCGGTTCAGGAACTTGCTGACCACATCAGCTCCGAACGTGAAGGAGACGCCGCGGTCGTTTTCCCCCCAGCCCTGGACGTCCTTATCGGGGTCCGACCACAGCAGATCACACAGGAGGCCTGGCAGGAAGAGAAGACAGGATATAAACTACAAAAGAACACCTGAGGAGGTCTTCACCGCTGCATTTAGGCAAGACAATTAGACCTGGTCCACTCAGAACAATGTGCTCTGCTGTTCCAAACTGCTTTAGGTTAACGTTATGTTAGATTTACATTATGTCAGGTATTAAAACATCAAGGCTGCCCATGTATACACACACACACATTCTTCACCTCCACTCTGAGTCGGTCTGAAGACCATAAGAGGGTCTGAGAGCCCGAGGCTGCTAGGGTCTAACACTGGCGGCCTTATAAGGACAAGAACAACCCGCTCTAGTGAAGAGGGGCAAACACTCACTTCCACTTTACTAGCACACATCCATCATGAGCAGAAGTTATTAGGGATGGAATCATGGTGTCCTCAATGTTATAAATAAGTATATTGCACAGGATGTGTGCGTGATTCTCCTTAAATATCAGCAGATGTAAAAGTTCCCCACTTAAGATAAATAGTTTTTACCCGGAGGGCTAAAAGAGGACCGAACCTGCGTCACTGAGCATTTTGGGCCAGTTAAGGCCGATTACTAAACCCTGAGAAGCTGGATAAATATTGCGCAGGTTTGTTTTGACCCTAACCCTATCAAAATATGTAACATGGCAGGACAGGGTGATCATTCTTATCATGAAGTCCACTAGTTATGGAACTCCTATTACAAGGTGTTCCCTATCCATCTGATACATATATTTCTATTTCTAAATACAGCTAGTAAGTATAGCAGTCTTTGTCACAGCTGAATAGTTCTGCTTTTAAATTAGATGATAAAACCACAACAATTCAAAATGCCAGGACCCTGTGTTGTTTAAAGGATTAGTCGATCAACAGATTTTAGATGACTTGTTCAGACGTTTATTAGGCATAAAAGTCAAAGATTCTCTAGTTATAAAATCATAATTGGGATAATTTGATGCTTTTTTTAGACGTCATTGTACACTGACTATCTTTGGATGTGATGGTCGGACCCAATTATTTATCTATAAAAAGAGTTACCAGTTGAATGTGAACGGAATCATTGATAAATGCATTTCAACGTTAATGTGACAAAAAACATGTTTTGTTGAATTAAGTGTGTGTGTGTGTGTGTGTGTGTGTGTGTGTGTGTGTGTGTGTGTGTGTGTGTGTGTGTGTGTGTGTGTGTGGTCCCACCTGTGTCGGGCACGTCTGTGGGTCTCATGATGCGTCTGATCTGCTCCATGGACTGCAGGTCTGGAGAGAGACCTGCACAGGACGAGACGACAAACCGTCACAGATTCATCCCTCCATAAGTCTGCAGCAGGTATGAACCCATATCACTAATACTATTAACATGCTGCGACCCATTCACTTCACATCAGAGTCAAACCAGAAGCTTCATTCTCGTTATATTTCCTCCTCCAGATGCTGCAAATATCAGAACTCATGTGCCGGCCTCGTACCTCCGTGACAGCAGAAGATCTTCTCGTCCACGATGGCGGCGATGGGCAGGCAGTTGAAGCAGTCGGTGAACGTCTTCCACAGCTTGATGTTGAATCTGCGTTTACCTGCAACACCAACAGGGAGGTGAGACAGGAGGCAGAGAGCCACATGAGGCTGTGAGAGGGGTTTAACCCTGATCAAAGGGCCATGTCCCGTTTCCCCCTGTTCCACACTCAAATCGAATCCATTGAGCAGGCCATGGATTTAGTGTATTCATCATTTACCTGATTCATTATAAACCAATTACGACTTTTAATTACAGGTGCGCTGATTATAGATTGGGTTATTTAGTCCTATATTCTTGAAAAATAGGAACTATAGATCGACAACTGTTATTATTGCACCATCATGAAAATACAAGTCTGTTTTGCTCCAATTTTAGAAAAAAATACAGATGTAAGCTTTTAAGGCTTTAAAGTACATTATATAACACATTTGACTTCTTACAAACTACTCCTTGTATCAGAAGCTCTCAGAGTTCAAAGTTACTGTAAGATGTAAAAATACAAGTCATTTTAGGAGCCATACAAGTTGATGTTAAAAGGGGGATAGGGAGCTTGGGGATTCTAGCTTTTGCAGACCATTGGCATGCACTAAAACCTATAGAACAAACTACAGGAGAGGGGAACCCCCCAAAAACCTTTTACACAAGTATCTCATGTCCTACATTTTAAGTTCCATAAGTAACTATTTAATTACTTTGGAGAGCAGGTCAAACGGTAATCTTAATATGTTTTGTGTGATTATAATTAGGCTTATCACAGTATAGCCAAAGATATCACCAATTTAAAGCAATTCAAAGAATCCCATTTGTTAACCATTTCACCCCCAACATGAGTTTATTCTAAGTTTGTCTGCCTGCTTCCTGCAACTACTGTTCTGGTCACAGGTGTGTGCCAACATCTGTCCCACAATAAGACTTGGGGAGGAAGTGAAAATGAAACCCTCCCTTTCCACGAGAGCACTCACACTCGTCGTAGAATCCGTAGATGCGGTTGATGGAGGCGCACTCGTGGTTGCCTCTGAGCAGGAAGAAGTTCTCGGGGTATTTGATCTTGTAGGCGAGCAGCAGGCAGATGGTCTCCAGAGACTGCTTCCCTCTGTCCACGTAGTCTCCCAGGAACAGGTAGTTGGCCTCTGGAGGGAAGCCGCCGTACTCAAAGAGCCGGAGCAGGTCTGTGTACTGTCCGTGGATATCACCTGGGGAGGGGGAGGAGGCAGTGAGGGGGGAGGAAGGGGGAGCAGATAATAGTCTAGTTTCCAGCCCTGTTGTGAATCCGGAAAGGTTGAGTAGCCCAGAGATTGATGTTAGTAAGGGTCCCCAGCACATAGAAACTGCCGGATGCTAACCTGCATACGTTGGGCAATTTGCACCATTAGCATAAGTTGTGTTAATTAGCATTCATTAGCATTATAGCCTGTGGACAATAGTTCAAACATGACTGAGGGTCATTGTCGAGGATGCTGAATCTATTTCTGATTTCAGGATCCATAATGCATCATTTCAAACAGAAAGTGGCCACATCTGTACTCTGTGGGCTGATTTTGATTCATCTTCGGGCGACTTTGAAGATTTAGTTGACTCTGGATCATTAGGATAGGACAGGCTTATTTATTTGAAAAATAACTGTCCACAGTAGAGGTAATCATTTTCATTTTGTGCTCACAATATCCAATGGTCGAAACACTATGGTAGTCAGAATCAGCCCGCCAGTTACCACTTATCTATTTTCTTGATAAAACTGCAATTTCTTATCCTGAAAATGTCAGATATGCATTCAGCATCCTCAATAACCCCACAATCATTCAAGAATTGTCCAAATCAGCCAAGCCATTTTTTAATCTATTGTGTGCATAGGCTCTAATTCAATCTATTGCTAATTAACACAACTTATGCTAACTGTGCAAATTGCCCAACATATGCAGGTTAGCATACAGCAGAGTCTATGTGCTGGGGACCCGTACTGTACATTTCTATCATAAAACGTTGGGGTACTCAACATTTCCAGGTTTAAAGTGCTATAAGACCATAATGAAACCCTAGAAGGAGAAACCTGGAGAATACTGACCACAGATTTTGAGCGGAGCCTCCAGCTCCAGCAGGATGGGCTGACTGAGGAAGATCTCCCGAGACTTGATGCACAAGCCGCGCACCTCGGCCTCCGACATCTGGACGATCTTCCCTGGACGACATCCTCGCACTGTGGACGAGAAGGTTAACGATATGACTCTGTTGACCGCCACATATCGCTCACATCATCCCAGACACGATGAGTTTTGAAATGAACCTCAAACTAAATATGGGAGGCGGTGTTTAGGCAACAGGCGGAGGATGGAAATAGCTTGTGAAGGGACTGTTGATGTTTTTGGGAGTGCTTTGGACAGGACTTCCTGTTGTGTAACAGGCAAAGAGAAAGGGGAAGCATGTAGATCCATGTTAGAGGAACAAGGGATGGGATCACTCTGTAGTAAGGCATCAGATGTGGAGGATTTGGAAGACTTGATAAATGAAGTGACTCCATTCATTCATCAATTAGTAATGAGGCCGTATGAGATGAATAAACATACATTCTGCACATCTATTCAAAACTGCATCACGAAATCAAGTATTCTATCTTAAACTATTAACAGGATAACTAACTTTAAATATCCTTCCAAAATGATGTTTTCAATATCCTTACGACTTTTACACTGCTCCAATTTGTTTTATTTAGTCGGCATACAAATGATCAATACAATAACTGTTCCTAAAAAACTACAGGCCAAAATAAGCAGAATTTTCTAAATAAAAAGAAGTAAACAAGACTTTGAACACGAGAAGACGTGGGACACACAAATACGTGTTTCATCCAGTAGCCAAAAGGTAGCAAAGTTGATGAATTGCAGTCTGTTTTTAGGCAAAAACATATTTTTTCTGGTTTCAGATTATTTTGGTTATTAGTTTTGCAAAAATATGAATAATAATGATACATTTCATTTATATAGCGCTTCTCTAAGTACTCAAAGTCGCTGTACAAAGGCGCAGGTAAAAATAAACATTTTAAAGTGACCTCTGGCTTTATTCAATTATAGCTGCCTTTCTGACGTATGATCGAATATATTAAATAATTGATCTCCCCAGAAAATAATAATGATCAGCTCTAGATTACTTTTATATATATCTATACTGATTACAGTTTACAGAGAAGAGAGAGTGTGTGTTCTGAGATTCTAAAGGTGCTTTAATCCAGTGTGTGTACATGTACAACATGACCCCACTAAATCTGCCTGGAGACCTTTCCGTCTCACCCCCGGTCACGCCCCACCTGCACATTAGGGGCTATATTTAGACCGTGCAAAAGGTACGATTTCTAGGGGGGAATAAACAAAACATGAATCAAGATCCAAATTCATGCCGCAAAAACCTCTGACTCATTGTGCCCTTCAAATAAAAACACTTTAATGTACAGCTATCCTACACTGAGCACAATACACAGGCGCGTGTGTGTGTGTGTGTGTGTGTGTGTGTGTGTGTGTGTCCAGTGAAAAGTGACTGTCGAGGGGGTGATTTCACACCCCTCGCTCTCAGCTTCAGCTCTGTGATGATGCGCTTACAGAGCTGTGCTGGCTCAGCTGACAGGCCTAATATATCACACACACACACACACACACACACACACACACACACACACACACACACACACACACACACACACACACACACACACACACACACACACACACACACACACACACACACACACACACACACACACACACACACACACACACACACACACACACACACACACACACACACACACACAGTGACCTTGACTTCAGATCGTACCACTACAAGGCATGTGGGGGAGGTATGCCAGCATCCTTTACTCTGACACCACCGCACTGCAGCTTCCCCAGCGTAGAGAAACGGGGAGCGAGAGATACCGTGCAAAAAAGAAGAAAAAGGAACGAGATGGTGGTACCCAACGACTGATCACCATGGCAACGAGGCAAGACCAATTTCTAGCCTGGAAGGTGTTGGTGAGCGACGAGGCTGTTACTGCTAAGGGGGCGGGGGGGTAATTACCAACCCACGCCCTGCATACTAACATTACAACTGTGATTACAGGAGGCGTGCACAGAAAACAGGTTTCAATCAGATTCCCTGCAATATGTTGCATTTCTATTGTTAAAAATAACCTTCAAAAGTGAGATAACGCGTGTCTCAGAAACATTCCATCCCGCCTCCTGCTCTACACAAACACTGAACAGGAGTGACAGCAACAGGTAGCAACTGGCTAGCTAGTGGAGCTAGCTAACTGCTAAGGTTGGGTTTCAAATAGATATTAGTGGAATATCCAAAGTATTCAATAATGATTCAAGGTTTGTGTACACTTTCGGATGCATTTTGGAGTGTCAGATAGTTTTTGCAACGTTTCTTTTTATCTTTCTTTTGCAAGATAGTTGAGATTGTTTGAAGTGGTGATATATGAGGTACTTATCCATAGTCAGTATGTGACCTATAATAGATGGCTGTTGGCATTCTACCATTTCAGAACATCCAAACTATCTCTATAAAGTGCAATACTAATCCACTGGAATAGCCCATATCATTTGCAGCGAGACTATGAGCAATGAACAAGCTATCCTTAAATTAAGGCCCCGGCCACACGAGGACGAAAACGGTCGTTTGCGTTACTGTTTAGTGTCATATAGACCGTTCGGCTACACGAGGACGACCGAATACGGCACTAAACGACTGCGGAAACGATAACGGGTCCCAAGGTGGATATAACGGCATACGCAACGCTCTGGGGGGTCCAACGGCTCCGTGTGTACGCCCTATACGATCATTTTCTGATAATGATGAGGCAATAGCCCCGCCTCTCCCCACCTCTGCTGCTCACCCCCGCGTCAAAGTAAACTGCACACTGAATTCAGATTATTTATCTTTCTCTCGATATGGACATAAACGCGAGTGAAGTCTAATCTGACAGGACGGAGACACCTCTCAAACTACCTAAACTAGTTATAAATATGTTTATTTTTACTGTCGGCTGGGTCACTCATTACTGGATCAGCTGCTGCATGAAACAGACACTGGCGCTGTCCGAAGAGAGGGAGGAAAAAGAGAGGCTCCGTCTATTTTATTATTATATTATATAGAGTCGTTATTCATTTGTTTTAAAGCTCAATAAATAACAAAGAAGACCTTTGACCGGCACTTTTATAATTTTGTCGGAAGATTTAAACTTTAATACACGTTGACTGGCGAAAAACTCTGCCCGGTTCCCTCGGCCCCCACCGCGGAGAATAAACAGAAGGGCAACCATGACAACCATGCTTCTTCGCTGCTTTTGTGGAGGAAGTTACAGCGCCACGTACAGGCTCCTGCATATGTACTGCAGCTTCTCCAGCGGTTGGAGCTAAACGGAGCGGTCTCGTGTGGACAGACACTATCCGGATGACTATTGCGTGTGGACGGAAGCTTTTTTGCGATTGCGTTAATCCTATGCGTTTAGCCGTTTTCGTCCTTGTGTGGCCGGGGCCTAAGACACTCATCTATTGCTTGTACATAAAGAGTTGCAGTTAGTTTGTATTTCTTGAATGATATGCGCAAATTGAAACGTTTTCTGGCACACTATTATTGTTACTTTAGGTAGTAATATTATAGAATATATTATCTCTAAAAAAGCAGTTTTACAATCCAATGGTGAAGTCGTTTTAAATGCATAAAATACAGAAGCTTTTCTATATTACCGTAGATTCCATGAATTATTGACTGACTGCCACAGTGTGTTTGAGTCCAATTCTCCTGAAATCAAGCCCCAAGGCATACTTCAAACCCAATACAAGCTGAAAGACTCACTCATAGACACACAACCCAAACAGATGCACAGCGTTCATCACCTAGTGTCCCTGCTCTCTCCGTCCCTGGGTAAAACAGCTGTTCTGCCTCACTTCCTGTCAGCCTTGTCTTGATGCTCCACTAGTGTTTCCCAGCTGGTTCTTCGGGAGATTAGTGAAAATCTTTGAGAAGGCTCTCTATGTCCTGGGTAAGATCTCCTAATTTGGTCAGGTGCATGTTTCGGTCTGCCTCAGCTTTAGTTTAAGTTTGGACACCCTCTGACCTCTTCAGATTGAACTCTGTGTCCTTCCTCTAGCTAGATCTCTGTATCTTTGTTTCTCTAGGCCGCCTTTCCTCCCTCCTTCACCCCTCGTTTCCTCCTCATCTATTTATCCTTAAGTTTCATTCTTGGCTGCGGCTGAACTCCTGGGTCACGGTCTTCCTCTGCAGAGCCTTGTGAACTCTGCTGACGTCAGAGGGCAGTTTGGCCTTGAACCCCTCCCCGAGTGAGTTTTTAAATTCCTCCCAGATCACAGACCCCTCAGAGCCAAACCCCTCAGGCTCCAGGGACTCTCAGTGCCGCCTGTGATACACATTGGTTAGGGCATCTGCAAGACGCATCAGAATCTAACCAGTTTGAAAATATTTGTATGAGAAGTGAATGTTGTTTCTGGTCTTTAGGACTGTGACTAACATGATACCTCAGTAGGAAAGCATGCACAAGGAAACTATAACATGTTATCAGATCTAAAGCTGAGACAAACACTAAAACTACCATAAATCATTGGGATTCATTTGGGCCTAATTCAGGTCAATACAAAAAACTATCAAACTTATGCAAGTCACAACAACTGAAATAGGGGAAAAAACGTATGATTTAATTCCTGGTTTACTATTTACCAGTTTACTATTTAGTTGGCTGTATTTGTTTCCGACTTGTTGGATCCAATCATTTCCAATCATTTCCATTATCAAACTTCAGCCGATGTAAATTCCCAAAAGTCCAAATTGAATGGAAAAAGATAATGTGTTTTTTATCCCAAAAATATTGTGCATTAATGCATATTTAAAAAAACAAAATGTAGGTTGATGATTGGTAGCGTCATTTGAAAACTTCAATAGAAGCTTTGAATAAAAAAAAAAAATGACATTCGGTACAGCCCTAGCAAACTATGAAATAAAAAAAAGCACCGACATTGGAAAATGTGGAGTCAAAAATATTTCGGCTTAAAAAAATGACAGATAAATAATTTATTATCACATTTTCTGTGAGATGACTTATCGTTTCGATTCTAAAAGAAAGATAATACTTAATACGGTGATTTAATATTCCAGGGAAGCACTAATAGCCTGTTATTCCTGTCTTGACAC